CAGTGCAGCACCCCAACCTAGTCTTCTTTGTGAAGGAATTTGCAATCATCCAAAAATGTCTCTCTGTCCCATCGAACTTTCCACAGCATTTCTCTACCAGCTAGTTGCCGTGGAGGCTGTGCTGTGATTTTTCTCTACAAGGTGTTAATATCTGGTGACGATGTATTGTTTGATTTGCAAGATAAATATAGGCAGTGGTTAAAAGTTTGGCCTTTGGCAGCAAACAGACCCGGATTCAAATCTCACAGGTTGGCCTGCTACCAGCCACGCGGTTTTCTGCAAGCAGCAACTTCTCTGCTGGAGGAGGGTGCTAATACCCACCGCACGGTGGGCTGTAAGGATCAGGCCAGGTCACGTTGGTAAAAGGCTCGACCCAGCCTTGACATTCCGTGAGTTCTCAGTTTGTGGCAGTTTTTATTATCCCAAGCATATTTGCATTTTAATGTCAGGAGATGACAATGCCCTTACGAAAGGAACGAGTGTTTTAGAATGAGACTGCAGGCTTGAGAACAAGTGGACTTTTTGGAGCAGGTGGTATGCAAGTCTATCACATAGTTAACTGCCTCATCTTCCCAGATGGGGTGTTTGTGTCCACCCCAGAGGGAAAGGATCGAGAAGAATAATCTGTCACATAGACTTCATGGATGGTTTGTATAGGACCTCCATGACAGATTTAGAAAAGACCATGGGATGCACCCAAACAATTCAGTGATTTTAATTTGCCCTGGAACTGTGCTACTCAAAGTGTGGTCTGACGCCAGACTGGCAGCATCTGCCCACCTGGGAGCTTGTGAGAAAGGCCAATTCTTTGCCACATCCCAGACATATTGAATCTTTGGGAATGGGCCCAGACAACTGCATTTTTCCAAAGCCCTACAGGTGAATCTGACGTACCCCAACATTTGAGAAGCACCGTTATAGAACATCTACTCAAGCCTATAAGGTACAGGCATCCAGACTCATCCTATGTCTTTGGGAGGCACCCTAACAGGCCCCAGAGAATGTACATGGCCGTGGATTCCCTTACTCCTTGCTCTGACATTCCAAGGACACACACAACCATAGAGGACTCTGGAAAGCTTAACTCTAGCACTCGCAACGTGACTTAACAATGAGATCGACTTCATTTTTATTTCATTAGACAAACTCCCATTTCTTCTTCCCATGGCTTTATTCGTTTTGATAACTCAAGCTAGTCATGCATTGTTGGGTTGTCCCTTTGTGTGCAAATTACTAAGGTTAATAAAAACTACCTTTTAACTCAGATTCAATTAGCATGCATTGTTTTTTTTAGAGACCCATTTCAACCGATTATAATTTTGCTCCATCATGCTGGTTTTTACTGTAGAAACCTCTCAGCCATTTTCCTATGTATATCCCCATCTTCACCAAGTAGATGTTAGTATTATATAGATATTTACAAACCGGTCTACAAAACATGTAGTTTTTATATTGCATCATCACTTATTTTTAGGAAAAGCAAGTCCATCCCAAATGTGATATGGTCACAGTTATGTGCTGTATAATGCTTTTCAAGTGGGGTGATTATTTTTCAGCGATAGTGGCTCGCATGCAAAAAAAGTCACTCACTAAAATCACATGACTTCCCGATGATTAGAGGGAATCTCAGATGGAGGGGATTGAACGGTGACCCTCAAAAATGATATGTTCGTGTTCTAACTTCTGGAACCTGTACATACGATCTTATTTAGGAAAAAAGGTCTTTAAAGATGTAATTAAGTTACAGATCTCAAGATGAGATTGTCCTGATGAGGATGGACTCTGAATTCAGTGGCAAGTTTTTAGAAGAGAAGGGAGACATAGACCCAAAGGCACAGGAGAGAAGAGCATGAGAACAGCAGTAGCATTAGAGGGACGCATCTCCAAGTCAGGGGACACAAGGATTGCCAGCAACCACCAGAAGCCAGGAGAGAAGTGTGGGGCCCATTAATTTTCAGAGCCTCCAGAAAGAGCCAACCCTGCTAACACCTTGATTTGGAACTTCTGGCCTCCAGAACTGTGAGAGAATAAACTTCTATTGTTCTAAACCTCCAGGCTTGTGGTAATGTGTTATGGCAACTCTAGGAAGCCCAGCTCATTGCACCGGCTCATTACAAATAGCTTCTACTGGTTGTAGCTGCCAACATTTACAAAACCTGGGTTTGAGAAACTTTCCTAAGGAACTAAGTTAAGGAAGGCTTAACACCAAGTTGCTGAATTTCTGTTTTTAATACCATAAGTCATACACCTTTAAGCAAGCAACTCTCATCAAAGGACACATTAACACAGTTTTCAGAGCAGGAGATGCATCCATTAGCATTTCATTCACTGGACAAATGTGCAAGTGGGCAAAGCACCATCAGTGCGCATGCAGTGTTCAGCCAGTTAGAAAACCTTGACAGACACAAAGTAGTAGGTGAATGGCTTACAGCAGTGATTTTTCAACCTTTTTCATCTCATGACACGCATACACTAATGACTAAAGTTCTGCGGCACACAAAAAAGTAACTGGTAGAAGAAATGCAAATATAACATCATTAGGATACCACTTTGTACCCATGGGATTGGCCCCAAAAGTAGAAATCTGGTGAGAAATAGGGGAAATAGAATTCTTGTTGGAGTCTCGACTGACATGAGCCATTCTAGGGAGTGAGTCTGGAGGGCCATTCTGGAGAGCACATCAATGTAGGTTTTTCTGTGATTTACCATCAATAGGGGTCCAGGAATAAGGAGTTTTATTTAAAACAAAACAAAACACAAAATCAAACTGCCTTTGTTCTATTCTGGATTATTTTCAGCTTGTTGGTTTTATGGACTTTCTTTTCTTATTATTTGAATTATGGATAGAAAAAGCAAATAGGAGTACTACTCTCAGCCTAATTCACAAAACAGAATGAGTTGTATTCATGAGAAAGTAATTACAGTTTTGGTGAAGGATGACGTGAATTTAGGTTTTGTGACAAGTGAGGAGTAAACAGTTAAAATGATTACATATGTGAACTTTAGGGAAACAGACTACAAAATTTTAAAGCGTTAGCATAGGGAACTCGGAACACCACCACCCTGGAGTGTTCTGGCAATGTCACAGGACAGGGGATGAGGAAACAACCATCTGACCAGAAACATGGCAGATTCTGTAGACAATGAACACTTTGTACACCCTGGAAGTCAGCTGTAGTAACTAACTCTTAACTCAGAAGGGAAATTGTAAGAGGATTATTTGTTTTATAAATATCATCATAATTGAGTCTTCCTCTGACCCCCTGTGGGGTGGGCTGTGACTCCACAGATTAAGTGTACGGGGCCTAATCGAGAAGGATTGGTAGGTCATGGTGAAAGATTTAGCCTTAGGAAAAATTATGAAAAGCTCATGGTCATCATTTCATTTTAGAAAAGTTATCGTGGAGGCTTAGAGAGGAAGAACATGGGTGATTAGGTGATCAGTTTGTGAATAAACCTGGCCTCGAAGAAAAGCAGAAGGGTTGTATCATGATGCCAGCCAGCCAAGCAGGATGTGACGAATGTTTATGTAGTGCCCAAGGGACAGAATTAAGGTAGGATGTCATTTCTAAGGAGGTCAAGAGTAGGGAGGGAAAAGACCTCAGATGGCAGCCATAAGCTAGAAACCACAGGAAGTAGTGAGCAGTAACACTGGGAATATCATGTCCAGACCTGCAGGCCAACTGAGGCCGTGACCGTGGAGACAGTGAGCAATGAAGATTTTTATCAAAGGTGTGTTTGTGGTACCAGAGAGCTAGACTACCAAAGGGCCCATCTCTGAGGAGAGGGAATGAATTGTGACTGATGGTCCCCATGGAATTCTATGTAGCTGCAGTTAGATTGGGAAGGTCTGGAGTGAGGCTTGCCAGATAAAATACAGGGTGCCCAGTTAAATTTGAATTTTTGATGAAGAACAAATACTTTTTTGGGGTAAGTATATCCCAAATACTTGCTAATTCTGGCAACCCTACTCATAGCCCAGTATAATTTGTGAAAATGAAAGCTATGTATGCAGGCAAATCAACACAACTTATAAGAATACTAGAGGCCCAGTGCAAGAACTTCTTGCACAGGTAGGGTCCCTACCAGCTGCTGGCTGCTGGCCGGGGCCTTCCTTCATTCCATGCCACCCCCTGTTGGTGAGCGCACGTCACAGAGAACGATTGAACTCCTGGTTGGTTGAACTCCCGAGGGGACACTTTGCATATTAGGCTTTTATATATATAGATGCCCTGGCCGATGTGGCTCAGTTGGTTGGAGTGTCGTCCAATATACCAAAGGGTGGCAGATTCCATCACTGGTCTAGGCAAGTGCAGGAGGTGACCCATTCATCTCTCTCTCTCTCTCTCTTTCTTCCTCTCTTTCTCTCTCTCTCCCCCTCTCCCTTTAAAAAATCAATTTAAAAAATTTAAAAAGCAAAGAATACATTAATAGCTATTAATAGCTAGTGTTTGTGGGGTGGATAATAGGGATTAAAGAAATAAATAAGTACTACACAAATAAAAGAATAGAGGGCCTTGGTGATACTGAGGTGAGTATGATTCCCTCAACCTCTCCCGGAATTTCCTCCGGAAGTCCTGATGACACTGCCTGGCTGATGAACAGAATATTCTGTTCTACGAAACAATCCCTATGGAATACCCTGGCATTCCCAGAAAACTTAAGTGGCAGGAAAGTGAGTAGGAGAAGGAATGGGTAGGAGACAAGAGACTCAGGAGGGAAAGCATAATTTTATAAACCTAATAAAAAATGACACTAATGAGCAAATCAGTCAGGCACATTGCTTCACCTAAGATTTACTCTTTTAATAGAGGAACATGGTTACATTCTTATAAATATTAGTGAAAGACTTATCAGCAAGTATAAATCTGTAGCTGTTGCCATAGAAACGGCTAGAAGAAGAGGCAAAGTTTCAGTTTCCCCATTGGAAAAATGACAGTTCTAGCCATGTCACTGGGTAACTCTAATTCTTAAAACCATTTTCTTTTCTAACGTTGCAGCGGATTACAAGGAGAGCTTTAATACAATTGGAAACATTGAAGAGATTGCATATAATGCGGTTTCCTTCACCTGGGACGTGAATGAGGAGGCCAAGGTGAGTGAAAAAGGAGCACGGATTCATTGTTCAGACTTCTAAGTAATGTGCCCTTTCTCTGCAGGTGATTTTTTTTTTTTTTTTTTACAACAGGCTTTATAGGTAGGGAAAGATCTGTTAACTTGAGCCAGAGCAAAAGGAAGTGAACCCATTATCTTTCTCTAGAAGTCATACACATGCAATTCTGTGGAGCAAAATTGCCTTTTTTGGGGGGTGGGGGGGAGAAAGGGACAGGTACCTGTGCCTCTGTGGCCTCCTGAGGGATGCCTCCAAAGCCTCCAGGCTCCATTTTAGCCCTTGGGCCTGGCAAAGAGTGGCCACAAAACCTTTCCAACCTGCACTGTAGATTCTCCTGAACCCCTTCTCACTGCAGCCTTCTTCAGGGAGAAGGGGTTCAGAGCTCATGTTTCACAGGTACGTGCCTGGGAATGTCTCCTGACCCCATGATTCCTCCCAAGTGTGTAACCTGCTGGAGGGAGGGGGCAGGAAGCAGGGCCACAGGCCTCTGAACTCACTCCCCGAGGTTCCCCACCGCTGTGACCTTGAGCCGTTTTTTTCCTTGTTGACTGCTTAAGCTTTCTCGCTCTCTCTCTGGTGCCAGCATGGCTTAAAAGGGCAAGAGTCAGGCCTCCAGCAAGGTGTGCTCGGGGAGGTTGCGCCGTTGACAGGTGAACAAGTGAGACTCGCCGGTACTCCTGTTTGCTTACGGGCCGTGAGTCTCTGAGTGCATGAAAACTCCAAACTTCTGTCTGCACTCTTTTTTTCTGTGTTGGATAGCTTCTGACTCTTGATCCTTCTTTTGCACTAAAGAGAAGTTTCCAGATGAAACCTAAGTTTGTTTTGTACTTCAGTTATGTACCATCTAGGAGGGCGTTACACAACTTTGTCTTGAAACTAATGAAAAGGTCAGTGTAAACAACTCCCTTCAATGCTTTATTGTCTGCAAGCGGGGAAGGCTGGGTGAGAGAGGAAACTGGATTTGAGTTTGCGGGCAGGACTTATGGAAGAAGATGAATTGCTCAGTGTCTCATTCCACTCACGTATAAAACAATGTAAATGAAACTGGCTTTCGGCCCAAGAAAGGTGACTTAAATGGGCAAGCAGCGAACGTGCCAGGGAGCTAGAAGGAAGGGGGCCTCAGAGCAGCGGGGAGTCGGTCAAATGCAGAGCTGTAGGGAAGCTTCTTCTAGGGTCCGTTCACCTCCATTTAAAGCTCCTTGTCCATTAGGTGCCTCGTTAGCGCAGTAGGTAGCGCGTCAGTCTCATAAAGCTCCTTGTCCAGGGCCGGCCGGTGTGGCTCAGTGGTTGAGCATTGACTTAAGAACCAGGAGGTCACAGTTCTATTCCTGGTCAGGGCACATGCCTGGGTTGCAGGCCCAGTGTGAGGTATGCAGGAGGCAGCCGATCAATGATTCTCTCTCATCACTGATGTTTCTACCTTTATCTCCCTCTCCCTTCCTCTCTGAAATCAATAAAAATATATTTTAAAAACAAGTTTCTTGTTCAAGCCCCAGACTTTCCCTTCGTCCTCTTCTCTCAGAGGCTGGGGTACTGGGCTAGACAAAGAAAAGACTTCGTGCAAGGCACAGCCGGGCTGGGGTTAGAACCCTTAGCAAGTCATCTTACCTCTCTGGGCCTCACTCAGCTCCTTTAATTAAAAAAAAAAAAAAATTAAAACAAACTTTTCCAAATAAACTCTGCCGTGCCAAGTCTGGTGTGTGATGTGTGAAGATCCAGAGCTCTGGGGGAGGGCAGGGGAACCAATAACCACACAGCACGTGTGGGGCGCGAGGGGCAGGCCCTTCACAGTCACGGGGGAGACACTGGCGTCCTATCCTCGGAAGCGCCTTGCCAGTCAGTGTAAAGGACCTACAAATGTGAGCTGTAATCGCAGCCCTAACATTCATTACCATGTAGCCTGTGCTAACGAGTGCTGGTGGGTGAATGCCTTAATGGTTATGTGCCCCCAGGGACCCTTTAAAGAAAATGCCAAAACCGAAGGGACAGCTTGAGTGATGGAGGCGCTGAGGTGCCACAGCGAGGCAGTGAATTTGGGTGGAGTTGACCCTTCTTTCAGCCTCATTAAGACAATTCCATGCCGCACCCAGAGGCAGGAGCTCGCGTCTCTTGTTCGAACACGTTGGAGCATGTGTGCTGTTCCAGCATCACAGGTTTAGCTCACAGAAGCTTCTTGTAGCAACATTTGCTTGTTTCTTTAATCTATATATTTTAGTTACTAATACTTGGTTATTGCAATTGTATGCAGTCTGGGTTAACCAATAAGTAATAAAAAAAATAGTTTCTAATAATTTCCCCCAAAGGACTGGAAAGGCTTTTAAAGAAAAACCATAAAAATCAAGTCTGTTTCATTAGTGAGGCCAAGAAGATTTTTTTCATCAACTCAGAGCCTAAGGAATTTCTTTAAAATGTTACTGATTTTAGCCCTGGCCGCCGTGACTCAGTTGGTTGGGCATCATTCTGTGCACCATGAAGTTCCCGGGTTCCATTCCCTGTCATGGCACATGCCTGGGCGGCAGGCTGGATTGCCCACAGGGGACGCTGCAGGAGGCAGCCCATCAATGTTTTGCTTTCATATCATTGTTTCTCCCTACCTCTCTCTCTAAAAATCAATTAAGAAAATCTGTAAAAAATAAAATAAAGTATTATTGATCCTATATAATAAAAGGGTAATATGCAAATTGACCCTAATGGCAGAATGACAGGGAACGACCAGTCACTATGATGCACACTGACCACTAGGGGGCAGATGCTCAATGCAGGAGCTGCCCCATGGTGGTCAGTGTGCTCCCACAGGGGGAGCTCCGCTCAGCCACAAGCCGGACTGACGGCTGCGAGCGCAGTAGCGGTGGCAGGACACTCTCCTCAGCAATGCTAAGGATGTCTGACTGCAGCTTAGGCCCGGACATAAGCCGTCAGTCGGACATCCCCTGAGGACTCTCAGGCTGCCAGAGGGATGTCTGACTGCCAGCTTAGGCTTGGTCCCCTGACCAGGCTCAGGAACCCCTCTGAATGCATGAATTTTCGTGCACTGGGCCTCTAGTTTTATAATAAGCAGACTGCATAAAACAAAGCATGTGGTTGAGTAAAAAAGTTTTTTAACAAAACAAGAAGTAAAAGATATCTCTCCCACAGTGGAATTGTTTGTGATTTTCATATCATGGACTTCTCAGGAGCAGTTGAATTTACTTTCAAGTTCCTATTGGCAGCATCTACACAGAAATTTCTTGTAGGCTTCAGGGCTGGGGCCCCATAGAGTGTCATGTGATGCTTTGGTTTATGTGACCAGAGGACACAAATTGTGGCTTGCAGCCTTCATATGGTCCACAGAACATATAGGTATATGTAACATACATTTACATATTTTATTTCAAAAATTTAATTTTTTTGCCCACATTTAATAATCAGGAGGTTACTTTAATCTAGGTTTCTAGATTCTTTGGGGTGATTAAAGAATATGGCAACCATAAGCCCAAGTGTTTGCAAGGCCACGAGTGGTTCTTGTGAGGTACTGGCTATTCTCTTTAATGCTTTCTCTAGCCTTCACCATTCTGGAACTTTCTCTGCTTGGCCCTGGTGGACATTTGAGTTTCCAGGCCTCAATCCTACCCCCTCAGACAGCCGAATATGCAGTTTACATCTTCACTGGTTTTCTGTGTTGGGGAATGTGGTGACACATGGAGGTTGACAGAGTAGAGCTGAGAGAAACAGGACCAGGATCCCCGCCAGCATTCCCTGGTTCCTTTGGCCAGGCCTTTGGCAGCAGGCCAGAGTGTGACTTGGGTTGGCACTGTGAAAGAGAGGGGCTGTGACATACTTTTGAATGCCCATAATGGCGTCCAATCTTGATCTTTGAAGATGTTTTAAAAATCATCAGAAATCACTTGGGTCCAAATATAAATACACATCAACCAGTTGGACATTACCACCTTAGGGTTAAAAATGGGATTTCTTTGTACACTTGAAACTTACATGATCCTATTAGCCAATGCCCCCCTAATACATTTAATTTAAAGAATGAGATTACTTTTCTACAAGACCGGCTTTGAAGAAGGCAGTGTCAGAAGAGACACGACATAAAATTTGAGCCACAGCAGCGTCATTTGAGAAACCAAATATCTTCCCAAGATGACTGTGCGAAAGGATAGTTTTTATTTGGATATTTAAGTTTTGGTGCATTTATTTAAAAAACAAACAACAGCCAGTATGTGGTTTTCTTACCACATATGCATCATCAAGAGCTCACTGATTTTTCCAGAGCACCTTCCCACGTGTTCCTTTTCCTGCCGACCTACATTTTACTTTCACCTCTCGTTTAGCATGAACAGAAGAAAGGATGTGAAATTCTAATCGTGTAGTTTATCTAAGGAAAAAGTTTGACCTGGGAAGGTGTTAAAACTATTAATTAGAACGAGGTTTGGAATGAACTGATTTCTGGTATCAATGGCCGCGTGAATCTGGCAGAACTATCCCCGAGTTCTTCCACCCAGAACCGGTTCTGCTGGCTGTGCCACCGTCTTCCTGCACAAATGACAGGAGCAGCAGCAATAGTCTCCAGCAGGACATTTCCCGCAGGGTCTGGACGCTGCTGTAGTGTAACAGGTGTCCCTGGGTCCCGGGCAGTGACTCAGGTGACATCTAGGGTGGGTAAGGTTGGGAGCCCCAGTCCACCCTGTTACAGCTTGGAAATTGATGGGGGATGGGCAGCAGCAGGTGACAGAGGAGAAGGCACCTGGATGCTCATCTTGGCACCGGAAGAGCTGGCTTTGTGACTTCTCCCTGCTGAGCCTCACTCTCCTCAGCTGGAAGGGAAGCAGGGATTATCAGAATAGATTATTGAGCCCTAACCGGTTTGGCTCAGTGGATAGAGCGGCGGCCTGCGGACTGAAGGGTCCCAGGTTCGATTCCGGTCAAGGGCATGTACCTTGGTTGCGGGCACAGCCTCAGTAGGGGGTGTGCAGGAGGCAGCTGATTGATGTTTC